TCAGCAAAAACCAAATCTAAGTTTCCAGAATTAGTACAACTCTGGAGGTTACTGCGGTGCCTGAGCCAGTTGAGTTAAGTGGGAACAAAATTTAGGAAGGAAGCAGTTCCTTCACTTAGAAGAACAGTTTCTTTTTATACTTGAAGGGGTCAGTGTACCAGAGAAAGCCAATTCCCCCTTTGCCACATAATTTCCAAACCCATGGTGTTAAGAGCCCAGCATGCCCCCTGGAGGCCAAATCCAAAGAAACCCAACACGCAGCAAGAATGTGGGCACTTTGCTAATTTATAGCTATAAGAATTTAAAGGAAGATGTGAAAGAATAGATTTTGAATATTCTTTCGGGTTATCAATGTGATATCTTACACAAGATAATTTTTGTATTCACGTAAGCTGGATGTGGCTTTAATAGATTGCAAAATTGGATTCAACACGGTTTCCATGCTATATGAAACTGAGATTCCAGTAGTACAATGTAGAGCAGAGTTTTCAAACTATTTTTGTATCCTACTCAGGAGGGATTTAAAAAACAGATTGCAGGGCCCCATCCCTAGAATTATTTCTGTGAATTAAGGCTAGACAGCATTAGCCTCTTCCTCTTCCCCCCTACCCCCCAAATCACCTCTTGGCCCCCATCCTGTAGGCTGGGTTCTTGAGCCACCACCCTATGCTAGCTTTTGAGTTCCAGTCATCCTGATTGGTGAAAAGGCTGTAATCAATTCAATGTAAGTGCAGCATCCAGGGTTACCTCAAACACCCGACCCTTCCTGCAGAATTTGTGATTTAGGAGGTTTGAGTGGAAGTCTAAAAATTTTCATTTCTAACATGTTCTTAAGTGATGGTGATGCTGCTAATCCAGGGACCACACTATAAAGGAAGGAATGTTGGAGTGGTACGTTGGTTCACTGTCCTCAGCTCTTTGCCAAGGTAAGCTATGACAGCTGCATACATGTATTAGAGCTGACCTAAAGCACCAATGTAGTCTTCTATGTTTAATATTATTGAGGTAAGATTTTACTACCAGTGAGCCCATTTAAAGTTTATAGTTGAAGAAGTTTTAGACTACAGGTGGGGGCCATTGGGAGAGGCACTGTGGGTACAGTTTGATTTGACCTACAGGGATTGCAGATGCCTTGCTCAGTTGAAGCAGCTCTGGGCAGCACCAGAGAGAGAAGCTTATGTCCTCAGTACTCTCCAGCATTAGCCTCTTCCTCATCCCCCCCCCCCCCCCCAAATCACCTCTTGGCCCCCATCCTGTAGGCTGGGTTCTTGAGCCACCACCCTATGCTGGCTTTTGAGCTCCAGTCATCCTGATTGGTGAAAAGGCTGTAATCAATGTAAGTGCAGCATCCAGGGTTACCTCAAACACCCGACCCTTCCTGCAGCTGTCTAGCCTTAATTCACAGAAATAATTGCAGCACCAAACAGAACTAGGGGGCAAAGGAATTCACTCAGTTAATGGATGAAAACATACCCCTAAGAAAAAACCCTAATGCAAGAGAACTAAGAAACTACTGGAAGAAGTCTTCAAAGCAACCATCTTAATGATGCCCAGTGAGGTTAGGAGAGTGATGGCTGAACAAAATGACAACTCTAAGAAGCAAATATGAAAAAGCTCCAAATAGAAATTACAGAGCTAAAGAATATAACAGTTGAGCTGAAAAATAAAGTAATAAGCTAAGCACTAGACTGGATGAGACAGAAGACCTAGTCAGTGAGTTGAAAGGGTAGTGGAAAGCATTCAGAAGTTGGTTAAAAGAAAAATGAATTTAAAAATGAAGCTAGAACCCGCGGGGATTACAATTGAGATGGAGAAAAAAAAAAGAAAGAAAAAGAAGAAAAAAAATGTACAAAATAATATAAAAATAAACTTGTAATAAAAAAGAAATGAAGCTAGAATTGGGGGAATTTTGACAAATGAATATAACTGTGTAATCACTGCCCCAAGAAAAATATGAAATGCTTCCATCACTTGCCAAAGCTCCTTCTTGCACTTATTTTATCTTTTTTCTAGGTAGTTCTAAACCACAGGCAACCACAGACTTACTTTTTTTAACATTTTGGATTCGTTTTTTTTCCCCAAGAATTTCATATGAACAGAATCATACAGTAATTTTCATGTCTTGGCTTCTTTTGCATTGTTTAAAACGTAGCTGTTGTTTCTCCAGAGACAGAAGTCAATTTGAATTGACTTCAAATCTTCTGCCTTATGTTCCACTTTGTTGCTTAATTAGTATTCCAATTTATATCCTGTTTTGTTACTCATTCATCAGTTGAAGGATATTTGGGTTGTTTCCAGTTTGGGTATTATGTATGGGTGAAGGTTCTGTGAATGTTTAGATACAAGTCTTTGAAAGGACATATGTTTATATTTGTCTTAGGAAAATAACCTAGGAGTGGCATTACTGAATTGTACTAGAGGTGTTTGAGCCTCTAGTTGCTGGACAATCTCACTAATACTTGGTAGTGTTACATTTTTTAAACTTATCCTGTCTAGTGAGAAGGTGGTGGTTTCTTACTGTGGTTTCAGTTGTTTTTCCTCATGACTAGTGGTGGTGCCTACTACTGTATCATTGCTTTGTCAATTGATCTTCCAAGTCTGCCTTGTACTCCACCTTGTAAAAATTAGTTTGCTCACCTCATTGAGCTTTAGAGATTGTACGTATTCCACATATATAAAGCATTTGTCAGTTATAGTATGCAATTATCTTCTGGAATTGTTCCTTGCCTTTTCATTTTCTTACTGGAGTATGCAGAATGTAGACAGTATTGATTGAGAAGAAATCCAGTTTATCTGTGTGAATGTGTTTGGTGCCTTTGGGATTCTAAGAAAACCTTATCTAACCCAAGGTAATGAAACTTCTCTGTATGTTGTCTTCTAGAAATTTTATATTGACTTCTATGTTTAGCAGTGTTGAGTCTTCTGATCTACAAGTTTTTATATCTTTCCATTTATTTTTTTAAATTAAGCAGTGTTCTGTAGTTTTCAGTATACAAGTCTTACACATATTTTGTTAAATTTATATCTCTGGATATTTGGTCTAGATACTAGATATTGAACCTACTGTTAAGTGGCATTTTTAATTTGAAAGTTTTCAGTCATTTGTTGCTAATATATAATTGTTTTATACTACTCTGTGATGTTGCAAATTCATTTATTTTAATAGGTTTTAGAAAATGATAGCATTTTTTATGTCATCTATCACTTACCTGGAGGTCTGTAAAATTGCTTTCAAAATTCCACTTCATATCTTCTTATCAGTAAGATTTTTGGAAATTGAATGAGTAACCAGAGAACTATTTAGTGAGTTCAAGAATGGAGAAAAGAGATTTCTTGAGGCTGTGCTGTGCCGGCTATGAATGATCCTCTTGAAGAGAAACAGCAATACACCTTTTGGGTGATCAAAGTATCCACTTCTATTAGATATGGTGTATTTAACCTCCCTTATATGGTGCTGGATAAGAGGAACATGTTTTTCTTCTTTGTTCTCCTTTACCAGAGCTCCAGGTCACATTACAGGAGATTAGTTTTTGTTTTTGCATTTCTGTCTTTATTATAGTCCCCCATCAGCTTGCGTGTTTTTCTAGTCTTTTAGCTTCACATTTACTGAGTATCTCTCATGACAGACACTTTGGAGATGGTTAAGCCAGCTCATGTTGTGTTTTTATCCTGGGCTACCTCAATCCATTCTCATACTTACTTGAATAATTTGGCTCCACTGAGAAACCACCTGTTAATCCTTCAATTGTATCAAATACCATCTATGTTCTCTTCAGTTCAGGTGAACATGGACTGCTGATCTTGAAGGAACTTTGTTGATCATTTCTCTAACTTCAAGAAAGGCAATATTGAGTCAGGTACAGATAATGCCGATTGTATTTTGGGGAACACTTTGCATTTTTTTTAAAAAAAGTTTTATTTATTTGTGCATACAGAACTGGGGTACAGGTCAGAGGTGCAGGGGCGTGAGAGACTTCACCAGAGACAGAGCAGGGAGCAGAACAAGCAGACTGACAAAGTACGCTGCTGATGGGAGCAGCGGGCGGGTCAGGAGAAGTAGTCTGCCTTGCAGTGTGGATCACCTACAGGGTGGGCGGGGATTGAACTCATACTGAAGTGTCTTTAGCTTCTTAGTGCTGTGCTTTAACCCTCTGAGCCACCAGGGAGGGCCCGGGAGCACTTTGCATTTTACCTGATACAATTATGGATAGTGGGTATCTGTCAATGTACATCCTCCCTGTAAGTTCATTATATGACACAATATAAGTGGTCTCATGTCCATTTCTGTGTAATACTGTTGCTTAGTGGTAGCTGAGTAACTAGTCAAATCTCTGAGACTTACTACCTTCCTCCTCTGTAGATGAAGAAAACGAAGATCTGCTTCACAGGGTTAAGGGGATAAAATGGATACAGCAAACACTTTCTAACTTGTAAAGTGCTATTTCTTTGTTTGGGAACAAGAAGGAAAACATAAATAAATCTGAGAATTACTCAGTCTATCTGGGTTCCCAGTCCAGTAGACATTAGCTAAATCTAAAAGTAAGGATCTTGGAAATAAATGCTACTATTTTAAATTATGAGTGCTACCTGCTAGCCAAGCAGTAGTTGATTACTCTTCAGGAAAAAAGCCCTAAACAGTGTTATCAAACTGAAGACTGTCTGTATTCAAGAGATGCCAAAGAAGGCAGTTATCCAGTTGTACTTAAAGACAGATGGTGTCTTGAGCCCTCTCTGGTGGTGCAACAGGTTAGGATGCAGCACTGCAAGCTGGCCGTAGCCACTTAAGTATGAGTTCAATCCTCACCCTGGAGGTGACCCACATGGCAGGGGTTCAATCCTCACCCTGGAGGTGACCCACATGGCAGGGCAGACCTCTCCTGTCTTGCCAGCTGCTCCCCTCAGCAGTGTACTTTGTGTATCTGCCTATTCTGCTCCCCATTCTGTCTCTGATGAATTCTGTCACTACCCCTGCACCAGTTCTGTATGCATAAATAAATATTACAAAAAAAGAAATTGCAAAAAAAAAAAAAAATGGTGACTTGGAAAATGGTAGCTGTTGAGTGACCTGTGCAGACCCAATTTAAAAGGTGTATAGGCCAGCACATTTTCCATTTTACTTGCCAGGCAGGCTTAAGAGTTGTTGCATATCAGTGGTTACTCCCATAATGCATTAAAGACAAAATTTTGTAGTCAGTGAAAATATTCAACAAACATTTATTGAGGATACACCAAGTAATCAAAGATTGTCCCTGTCCTCAATGTACTCATGGTCAAACAGACAGACAAATATTGGAATGGAAAGTGCTAGCACATAAATACCTACAAAGTGCTCTGCAGGGGCTGGGAGAGGTCGGAGAAGAGAGAAGAAATGGTAAGAAAGGTACATGGAGAAAGCAATGCTTTGCTATTACTTGAAAATTTCAAAGGACTAGAGGGCCAAATGGAAGTATTTTTTAAAAAAGGAGGCATGGAGAAATGTGTTTTGAGAGAGCAGGATGGATACCAGGATGAGGACAAGGCAGCAAGTAATAGACATCCTTTCACAGAAATAATGACTATTGGTGTAATATTATTACTTTATAATTTGTGCTTACTTAGTTTTCACATTTCTTTAGAAAGTATTTTGTTATCCACTCACTGCTGTTTTATATACAGAATTAACATGCCATTGTCATTGATGAAACATTAAAAAATACATATCCTTTCAACGTGTCTCTTTTAAGGATTTTGCATTTTTTAAAAGCTTTGACTATTACCGGCACCTCTATCAAACAGCATTGTCCAAGTAGGGATAAAATTATATTTAAAGATTCTGTCATTATTCTCCTGTCAGTGAATGCTGCATCGTAATTTTCAAGTCATGCCTTCAAAATCCTTGAGCGTGGTCAGAAACCCATTTTGCAGATGAAGAAATTAAGGTGAAGCGTTCTCTTACATCTCAATGTGTGACTGGAGTATATTAGGGAAATTATTGTTTTTAATTGTGTAGAGTTTCTTAATCCCTTCTTACGCCTTTAAGTGCCTGTTTTTCTCCCCCTAAATCCAAAAGTGGGAAGTATTTTGTTTTGTTCTTCTACTGGAAACAGATCACATGGTATTTCTTCATAAAGTGCTCAAAGTGCATGGTACTGTCAAGAGCTAGCTTCAGGAGCTGACTGCTCTGTTTAAAAAGAAGGACATGGCGCGTTGATCACTCAGGAAGGACTGTTTGTGGAGGTAGGTCACAGTCTTCAGAAGTTAGAGCATGATATGTGTATATATGTGTGTGTATATATTTTCATCATAAATTTGTTATCTGTCCGAAGTATCTTCACTAGATTCTACTTCTGTGTGACGCATGTAGCTTCCCTCGTTCCAGCTGGTGCACTTGGCGACACTGCAAAGCAAACAACTTTTAAAATCAGATAAGGCAACACCCGGATGATCTGTATTCCATCTTTTTCCTAGTTATATGGTTTTTAATAAATTATGCAAAGAGGATCATCCTGGCATGTTGAATCCAATTGACTTGTTGTGCAAGTGTTTTGCATATAAAAAAAAATCTGCTGGAGTTCTTTTCCAGATCCTAGCCTATACATGTGTCCTAATGTCTGCTCATATGAAATATTTATAACCAGAGCTGTAACTGAAGGTCACGTTTACTAGCTATATCTGAAGTTAGGACAAGAAGACATCTGGAAATAATTTAAATAGCATTATCATTTTAATTAAAAAAATATCAAACAGAATAGGGTTAAAAATCTCAGATGACCACCTACATTTACATTATAAGAAGCATTTTTGAAAGGATAATTACCAATTACCCATCTGCAATAATTTTCTAATTATAAAAATATTACATGTTCATAACAAAAAGTATAAATGAAAATTAAACCTGTTATCCTACTCCCCATGAATACAATTCTGACTAAAGTCATTTTTCATTACATGGATGTACTATTATTTATCTAACCATTTCCTACTGTTGGTCATTTTAGTCATGTAAAATTTTTGGTATAATGAACTTCTTTTCATATAAATTTTTGACATTACCAGTATTTCCTTCAGATAAGTTTCTAAATGAAATCTACGGTTCAAATACTATTAATATTTTAAAAAAGCTTTTAATGCATGCAGATGAATTACTTTATAAAACTGATAGTATTGAGGGCCTCCTTGTTTAAGTCTCAGCCCTATCACCACTACAGCCTAAGTTCGATCCCCAACCAGGGAGCTAACCCACATAGAGCATAGCAGACCTCTCCTATCCCCACCTGCTGCTCCCCTCAACAGAGTATTTCTGTAAAAATCTACCTGCTCTGCTCCCCACTCTGTCGTTGATGAATCCTCTCATTCCCCTGCACCTCTGGCCGACACCTAAATTCTTCGATGCAAAAAATATATATAAAATAAAAATGACAGTATTGAGTAACACTAAACCCAACAATGGGTAAGACTGTCTCATAATGTGCTCACTAACCTAGCATGTTATTTTTAATTTGTCAATTGAGTAGGTAGTCTCTTTAAAAAATTAGATATCAAGTAACTTTTTGTCAAAATAACAGAGTAATTGTCAATACTACTGTACTCTGTTTTACACAGATCTAGGTGTTAGCATTCAGTTGAGATATCATGCATTGAGGTGAGACTATAAATAACATTTGGACAGCCTGTTAAGGAGGTCATGGTCTTGGTAGAAAGTTTTAAGATTACAACATGTGATACTTGCCCTCTGACAGCCACACCCATGTTGCTTAACAAAAGCCCACATGGCTAACTATTGTGTCCCACCTTCTGTGGGTTCCCATCAGTCCTGTGAAATGGGTGTAGCCCAGATTAATGAGCTCACAACTCAATGTGTTAGCCTTATAGAACGAGTCAAATATCAGTGTATTTGCCTGGGTGCTTTAGTAACTACACATCTAATTAGCTTAAACTTTTTGTTAATTTTGAAAAGGCAAAAGGAGCAATATTGTCTTATGTCTATGATATTTTTGTTCTATGAATAATTCATAACTTGAATTTTGTAATTACTTCCATTTGCATGTCTGGATATTTACATTTTAAAAGGGAGTCATTAAATTACCTAATTCTCTGGAAAGAGATTCCTAATATTGGGTATATGCTATCTGCTTTTGTCATTTATCCAAGAACCCATAGTAGACTATATCCTTTTATGATAGCCTTCACCATCAGAGGCTATTATACTCTAGGAAACCACAGTTTTAGACAGACAGATAGCTCTAGTCTTAACTGCCTATATTTAAAGAAAGAGTGCCTATCTAAACTAGTCTTTCTCCTGGTTTTGGTCAGCCATGTCATCTGAGTCTTTAAAATTGAAGTATCTTTAAAGCATCTTGTGATAAAACTTAAACAGATCTATGTAATATTACTGGCAAGCTGAGGGAATTCACTGAACCTGGTTATCTTTGGATAAAATGATTAAAAAATATTACATACCATAGACTGGTGAGTGGAGTTAGCAACAGAACAGCTGACAACAGAAAGATAAAGCCTGGGTACCAAGCAACGGTGGCTGAATAAATTCCATTGAAAGTAGAAACTGAAATGACTCCACTGAGTGTTTCTAAGAAAGCAATACAAGCAAAGAGGGTACCTGTTTGGGTTCAGGGTGTGGAGGGAAAAAAAAGAACAGAGTTACAAAAATGGAGGAGGCATATTTTCATTGAAAAGAACGAACATGGAGGTATGGCTTGGTAAAGCTATTCTTCCAAGCTCTGTAAGAAGTCAGTAACCCATTTTGCAGGTTAGCTTACAAGGAGTTGTAACAGTTATAAGGAGAACTGAGGTAATCTCTCCTTGGACTTGGTGGGAGAGATTTTGAAAACAATGGCCACTGTCCACAGGACACAGTGAAGCGGCCAAGGCAGCTGAGTTACTGGAGTACCACACATCTCTGCTCCCTGCCCGGCCTCCGGCATTGATTACACATATCTGAAGTGCAAGATGCTATAACCCACTTTCCCTTTCAAGGACTGGTCTTGTAAAGGCAGAATGGTTCCTAACAGCAGATGTTTCCTCTCTTGATAGGCAAAGAAATCTTTTTATCAGCCTCTCAGATCTGGAAGGACAGTTGCAAAGAGAAGTGATCAGATACATTCTACAATTGGAATTTGAGCCCTCCCCAAAGTGACAAAAGTTGTTACCACTAGACTTCTGTTTGACTTATTAAGTCAAAGACTATGCTTTAGTGAAGGTTAAACTATGATTGCTTTTGTTAGATTTTTTTTTAAATACTATCGTTTGATATTTTTTCTGATTTCTCTGCTTGCAAGAATATAAACTACTCTGCGGTGTTTCACAAGGGTGAGAAGAATGGGGATTCTGCTGCCCTTCACACTTGTCCACACTAAGTCTGGTGAAGGGGAGGCCATGAGCACTGTTCAAGAAGCATGAAAGTCTGTTTGGTCAGTGCAGGTGCAGATTAGAGATAGTCATTATTCCAACCATTTTTAATTTTGTGTAGAACCTAAAACTCTATTGATAAAATTTCTTCCTGTTTGTCGACTTTTGCATCACAATATAAAAAATTTGAGACCATTCTCACTTCTCCTAGAGTTTCTTAGTGTAAGTTCCTGCTGATCCTATCATTAAGCCACTATACTTTCTCCCTACTTCACTTTCCAGGATAAAGGCCATGTTTTTTTCTTATAGAAATGCAACTTATGTAGATACTTGTGTCTGAACTGACAGGAAGGAAAAGTGAAGCTTGAGGATTACCCTTCAGACTGGGTTATGGTTTACATGTCTCTATCCTCATTTTCTCCATGGCCTTGATCTTTTAGGCTGTGTTTTGATTTTTATCTTTCTAAGCTTTTCACTCTCTTACACGTTTTCACACAATGCTGCTTCAGATGCTTCCTTGAATAATAGGACATTGTTCAAAAAGTAAACATATCTCTTCAGAAGTGTGTTAACATTTATGTGGTTTCCTTGGACTAAAATGAAAACCTGTCTATGACAAGGCACCTCCTTTCCCTGCTGTGCCCCCAGGGATGAGCTGTGCTGGGAAATGTTTCATACATTTCATACATTTCCCATACATTTTCATTCATTTGTCAAGTGAATGAATTAAAGCTTCATTAAGGAGCCTGTATCAGTCATCAAAGAGCATACTTACTGCATCCTTGAATGATGATTGATACATAAGTCAGTTTAATTGAGAAGAACTCTTATTTGTCTACCTTATTATTTTATTTTGTTGCAAATCCCTTGTTACAGTCAGGGATAGTGCCATGGAGGACAGACTACTAGTCCCATTATGCAACTGCTTGAATACATTCTCAGCTGGATGCAACATCTGTTCTGACACAACCATATTATTACAAAGTGGTTTCAGCTTATTGCTGACCTTCCCTGAGCAGATCACGCTTAATAGCTGTCAGAGATTAATTGGATTAAATAATTAGTATGATTTAGCTTTTACCAAATTTAGAAATTTATCAAATATGAAGTAATTTTTACTGTGTTTTAATTTATAATCACGAGGAGTACCAACAAAAAACAAACTAAGCAAACAAAAACGAAATGGGAAAAAAATAAATACAAACAAAAATAACCCACAAGGCCCAAAAGATTTCAAAATAATTCCCAAATCCAATTTCCTAATTTAAAGTAGACTGACAGGCATCTGAAAACCTCTGCAACTTTCCCTGCTCCTCTTATTATTTTAAGTATATAATGTTTTCACAAAAATATCTGTTTTTAGAAAATGACAGATGGGATATATTCAGTTACGGAACTTGCAACACCATCCAAAGGATTACTTAGTTTGTATTTAAAAAATGAAGCAATTATAATATCCCAGGACAATGGAATTCTAATTCACAAAGTCAGAATTCCATTTTAAACTAAACACCTAAAAGTCACTAAATGACCTTGTTAAAGATTTTATATATATATAAAAAAAAACAAAGGATACATTATTTTAGCTAAATCAAGCAAGTAGTTTCTTTCTTAACTGAACAGCTTCACTGTATGTATATATCTCACATACCATGAAACGTACAGTTTTAAGTACAATTCAGTAATTGCTAACATGTTCACAGAGTTGGACAAGCATTATGTGATCTAATTTTAGATGATTATAATCACCCCCAAAAGGACTTTAGCAGTCACTTCCTTTCTCTTAAACACTAATTATAATATGTGGTCTTTTGTGACCAGCATCTTTCATTTAGCATAATAATTTCAAATTCATTCACGTAGTGGCATGTATCACTTCATTTCCTTTTATTACTAACTATCATTCCATTGAGCAGATGAACCATTTTATTTATCCATTCATCAGTTCATGGACATACACATTTTTCTACTTAAATCACAGGCCACCCTCAGGAGCAAGTATCTAAAGAAGGAGGGTCTTTTAGGCACTTACTGTATATGAGCCCAGAGCTGTCTGGCTGCAAAACATGGGGACTGAGGTACCCAGAGTGTAGTTTACAAATGTGTATGTCTACGGGTGGGGGCTCCCAGTGGGCATAGCCAGCTGGCCAGAGGACTCCTCTCCACCTAGACAGGGTAATGTTGAAAGCAAGTCCTGTTCAGCATGAAACCCTGGGTTCCCTTGCCTGAATATAGCCTCTTCCTAACACACAGCTTAGCACTTAATTCAAAAGTAGTTCTGTGATGAAAAAGTGTTGTAGAATATTTTGAAGACTTAAACACTGATTGCACTTACATCTGAGTTGGTACAAAGTATAGATACAGATTAAAGATTAATTGTATTTCTTATGCAAATTAAACTCACCTTGTTCAGTAGAACCAACCACTGCTGACATCATGGACCGCAGAACAGAGAGTGGGACGGCAGTGAAAAGGAACGGCAACCTGACTGAGAAAAAACTGGAAATCACTGGCTCAGTCAGAGAACTAATGATCAGTTTTAAATATGAGACACTTTCAAAATATTTCATTTTCTATAAGCATCCTAATTCACTGCAGCTAAAGATTAGTTGTAGTCTTTAATAAATTAAAATAATTATAGACAGGTATGTTCATTTACTCTCAAATTATAATGCAAAGATAAGAACTAGAGTTCATGAAAATTTTAAGTTCCATATATATTTCCCTAATTATTACCTCTTGATTAACAAATCATAACTTACCTTTTTTTGTTTTTGCCTTTTCATCCTTAGTGCAATTTTTAGTGTTTACACTCTTTTATTATATTGATTCATTTATTAATAAACTGGTTCTTTATTATGTTGCTTGTTCATGTTTGTGGCTAAATAACTTCATGAACACAAATTGTTTCTGGTTTTAAAGTGTGAACTTTAATAATTAGTAGCATTTTTAGTTATATTATAAAGTAAAATATTGTATTTGCAGATAACCTTAAAGTTTTGGACATGCTGTCACATGTATTAACATTGCCATGGCAACTCGAAGGGAGACAGGGGGAACTGGCATTTATTGAATACTGGTATTCAATAAATAGTGGTTAACCATAAATACTGGTATTTATGGTTAACTATTCTAATATTCACTGCTTCCTCTGAATCAGAGGCTTCTATACTGAGTTTACAGGTGAAAAAATGAGGGCTCTGGGTGGTTAGCAATTTGCCCAGGATCATCCAGTACTATGATAGAAACTAAGCCCAATTCTGTTTGGTCATCCCACTTTTCCGCAGGGTAGCAAGAGGTCAACACTGCCTTTGCAGAAAAAGACTTAATTATACTTTCCCCAAGGTCCCAATATACAAAGCCTAGGAATCTTTCAATGAAGTTAAGCTCTACAAAAACTACTTTTGGGTAGACACCTAAGGATGCAGTCCAATTTGCCAAAAAGTAATTTGCCAACTGTCAGTTCATGAAATTTGTAAAACCTTGTCAAAGCATTTTTGAATTATAGTCAATGAGTATATTCAATAAACATGCTTTTTCTTGTGAATCTTAGGTGTATATTTTATGTAATTATCTTAAATTTTCTTATGAGAAGTACTATTAGAAGCATTTTAAGACATATTCAGTCTGGTGAAAGCTATATCAAAGATGTGATTCATACGAAGAACATTTTTCAAAACTTTTTTTTTTGACAAAAATACAAATTTGGAAAAATTCAGTGAATTACAGCTTCTTGCAAACTAGCTTTTAAGAAATAACTTTTAACTGAACTAGAATGGATTAAATGGAGAATTTCATATGAAAATTTCTCACCTAATAGACTAAATTTATTTTATATAATGATCAAATATAGTCAGTTCTAAGGGTACGTTTGATACTTACCTAAAAACATCACCAATGTTGTTTTGGCGAAAGCAGTCATAGCCATGCCCACCATGGTGGTAAAAATGCCAATGAAGGCCATGTAAATGTCTTCCATACAATAAGAGAAAAGCCATATTCCCAGGAAACTACTCAAGAAAGAGATGCTACCCAGTGCTGACCCATAACCTATAAAAACTTCATTCCAGCAGAGTGGTGAATCTAATTCATAAAGGATAAAAATGGGGGAAGCACCAATTATCACAAAAAAGTAAGTGATCATTGTAAAAAGTAACAAACAGAGCAAAGATCGTCGCTTACTGGAGGCGTTTTTAAAAAGCATGTAAGTTCGGTTAAATAGGTTTTTAAATGCTTCACTACATGATATGGAAACAGTCTGAGATGAAGTATCTTTCATTGAATCATCAAGAAAAAATAAAATATAAATTAAGTTAACAGCAAGAGCCAGCGTAATAACTAAAAATGACCACATATAACCAAGTTCTCTGATAAAATAGCCAGAAGATAGTCCTGTTAAGCCAGTAACAAGTCCAAGTAAGAAGTCAGTTATAGCTATTCGAAATGTTCTTTGTTTTTCTTCTTTACACTGGTCAACAATATAGGCAAAACAGGCTCCCAAAAATGTGGTAGAATTGCCACAAAAGGAAGCAATGATGGTAGATGCGATCAACAGCTGGTATGGAAAGGCAAAATAGGAAAGCAAACAGAGCCAAACACTGGTTGCAAGAGCACCAATACAAGACAAAATCATAGGGAATTTTCGTCCTTTGTGATCACTATAAGACAGAAGTATAAACGAAGACACCAGACCCGGAATTAGTCCACTTATGTCCATCTGCAGATTAAAGAGAGATACTTTTTTCTGAACTTCCTGCAAAGAAATAAAAAGAAGACAATATGTTTACAGAGACTAGTACAACAGGCATCAAAATACTGGTGCACAGTTTTCATGACATTGCCAGGAGATCACAGATGGGGAATCTCAGGTGCATGAGTTTGATGCAGCTTAAATCTTCGTTCAGTTCAAAAGGCAAATATCAAAAAGTGATATCATCAAGGCATCAAGTATCCCAGTGGAGACTTTAACCATAAAAGAAAAATGTTTATACTGATGTGTCCTGTCTTTGGACCCATAGACCCAAAATCTCTGGGCAAGAGCGGCCTACTTTGCCAGGGAGACAAGTGTTCTCCTCCTGTTTCTCCTACTACCCCGAGGAGTTGAGAGAAGGGAAGCACAGAAAACCATGAGCTTTTTAAGCAAAACCAAGAAGGCTCGCATGACTGTCCAGAGTAATTAATTTCAAGGAAATTTCTCCATAGAATTTAGAAATTGAGTAAGAACCAGGGCAGTGCTGAACAAGGAGGTCAGGTCTCACCCTAGCAAGGTTATGTTTGACATATAAAGAAGTGCTAGAACCTTTCTTCTAGGGCCCTCTGCCATCCCCCCAGGCTTCGTCTCCAGTCTTAGCCCCAACTCTCTGGAAGAAAATTTAAGAGCCAGTAGGCAGGTGACGTAAATTCCCTTAAATTCTTTTGAGGAGGATGAGGCAGACTTGTCATGACAAAATAACACCCAAGGGAAGAGTACAAAGTTTTTAAGAATGGTTTGTTTTGTCAAGAATTATAGGGGGAAAAGTTTTGAAGCTGGATGCTATCTATCTCTATTTCATTTGGACATTGGTAGGCTTTATGGTGCTGTCCCTCCTGTTTTAAACAAACAAAAAATGGGACAGGAGTCTAAAAAGGGAGAAGAAAAGGCTCTCTAATGTCTGACTAAACCTGTTTAGTGTCCTCAGAGTCAAAAGGAGTGCTCTGTTGCCCTGATACCCTCACAGACTTGGGAGTCAAAGCTGATTTGGTAGTACCAAATGATGAGGGACAAATGCCACACAATGCTGCTCCCCTTCCTGTGCCTGTGACAGGCTCCGACCCACCATCTATAGCAATGGCTCACTTTCAGGGTCACTGAGAACTGGGTCTATACATGCAGTGGAAGGGGGCTGTGAAGAAGCAAGTAGGAGAAAAGTAGAAGCACCATGTTTCACTCCACTTGTCCGGCAAGATCTTGTTCCTGCTGGCCTTGGTCCAACTTGCAGGCTTCTGGGTGGGAAGGAGAAGACGACAGCCACAGAGGAGATGAGACTTTGCTGAGATTTTGAAAATGGAAAAAATCTGCGTCACAGAATAAGGGTGGGGGGTTAAGTAGAAGAGGCAGATTAAAGGTATTAGCAATCTTCAAATGGAATCAGTGAATAAAGACTCTTGGACTGGGACTCAGGAGTTTTATGGTGACCCTGGAGAGAACAATGTATGATGAGTGCAATGTTCTTTTTCACTTGAAGATTGCATGTTGCCGTTACAAGTTCCCTTTGTATTGTATTTTAGGAATATTTAATTTCTTACCTCCTGGAATGCCAATATCGGGCTACTTTTGTTCTCTTTACATTGAGAAAAATTTTTATCATTTGTAAAAGTATAGTTGCCATTTTCTTCCCATATTCGCCTATACATATATTGTGTTGTCAGTGGACCAGCCAAAGTCATAGCAAATGCACTAAGGCAAAGGGCAGGTTCTACAAATAAAATCTTCATATTGCTGGGGAGATAGTGAACTCTATAAAAAAGAAAAAGGAGAGAGATAATCACTTGTAATCTTATCAGAGATGCTGCCACTTTAAAAAATCTTTATGCTTTTGGTTTTTTGTTGAGGTACCATGGGTTTACAACAGTATATATGATTTAGGGGCACAGGGGCACGACTATTCAGATGTCTGTTATCATACCACACACACACTGCCAAAACCCCTAGAGTTCCTTCCTTAGACAATGGGCCCCCCCTTTCCCAGTTAATTCCCGCCCCTACCCTTCCCTTCTATAGAGGCGGTATTTCTTAACGTTGGCAAAGTTAGAAAGAAACTTGAGGGGGTCAAGAAGCAAACTAAGGGACAGAAAACTGTAAAAATATCCTAGTTCAGTAACCTTACTTTGGAGTTGATACAATAGTCAGTTAAGTATATATAGGCTGTCATACTTCCCATTTTTTAAGAGTAAGACCCGTTAAGGCTGTCTTTAAGATTATTAAGAAAAAAAAAATCCGAAAATTGTCACCGTCATCCGTTTTGGTTAGCTAATGATCACACTATATCGTGCATTACTAGTTGGTTTTCACAAAGGAAAAGAAGTTCCTCCCAGGGCACTACAGTTGCGAAACTGTTTGTTATTGTTTTTTTTTTTTTTTTTTCCTGTTTGTTAACAGCCGCCTGGAAGGGCACCTTAAAAAAACAAAAACAAAACAAAACAAACAAAACAGCTCCCAATGATAGGGGATTTTTTTCTTTTTAACTCACCCCGCAGTTAACAACCTTTCTGCCAGTCTAGGCGCAGGGATGACCGTGTTCGGAGCTGACTCCTCTTCCGCCGGTGCCCTGCGCTCTGGCGGCGCCTCCGGGACAGCAAGTCCAGGAGGAGGGTGAGGCAGCCGAGGACGCGGGGACACTGACCGCGGGGGCGGCCGGCCTCGCCCCTCCTGCTAAGCCGGGCTGCTGTTTTGGACTAGTCCCAAAACACTTGTCGGGGAAACCCAAGCTCTTATTTTAAAGCAAACCGAGGAAAGCGCACTTGAGAATCCAAAGTGACAGCGGCGACAGTTCGCGGCGCAGCCCTCGCTCGGCTCCGCGGTGGCCGCGTCCCGGCCTCAGCCAGCTCCCGGTGGCGCCGGCGCGCCTGGCACCTGTTCCCGGATCGGTCGGCAGTCTGCAGGTTGGTGGTCCTGTGACTCTGTGGGGGGATCGGCGCCGGGACTCGCGCGTGGCGGAGACTCATACCCCGCCAGCCTGCACCTACCCGCCCTCCGAGGGGGCGGAGTCGCCGGGTGCGCTTCCCCGGGCGGCCGACGCAGCTCTCCTGTGATTGGACCCCGTGGCCGGCGCCCCCACGGCGATTGGTCCATCTCGACGTCACTCCCGTGCGCCGGGCCCGGGGCTCTCGGGTCTGGTTGCGCGGCCTCTTTCTCTTCCTCAATTCTCAGTAGGTGGTAGTTACGGAATGTGTCAAGCACCTTAGGTTTGATTCCTGATTGCTAATTAGTAGCTTGTAACCTTGGAATTGCCACTTAACTTCAAAGCTTCAGCCAATGGGCATTTATGAAGTGCTTGTCGTGAGTCTGAAACCGTGGAGCATGAATGTGGGAAAGGTGGTAGGCAAATATGGACAGCGCACACTTTCCTAGGAAGATAGAGAACAATTTGTAAATTGCGATACTGCGTTAAGGGCAAAATTAGGGCCGTGCTCAGAGTGGAAGAAGCCCAGGAAGAGCAGCCCAGGAAGGAAGAGCTGGTCTGGAAGGGAGCGGTAGAGATCTGATTGTCCTACAAGTACAAGGAAGAGTAAGTGAAATAATCCATGCAGAAATGCTTTTGAGAATTGTAGAGTCCTAAATAATCTTATTGTCACTAAAATAAGGCTTGTGCTAGCTGAATGTTTTTTGTTTTGGTAGGTTAGACCCTCTTGTTAATCTAAACATTCGGGAGTAAAATGACCACTTCAGGTGCTCGGCCCCTGTGAACTCAAGAAGGTGAAAGTAATGCCCCTAATCTCAATACCTTAGAACATAAATGTTTATTTATCTCTCAAGGTACATATCTTGGGGGCTGGGGAAGGTAGGTTTGCATCCTATTATTTTCACTCAAACAGATTAGTGGAGTAATTATCTGAATATCATTGTTGGCCTGGGGGAGAAAGAGGACAATCTAGTCTAACACCGGCTTTTAAAAGATTTCCCTTTGGAAATGATATGTGCCACTTCAGTTCAAATTTGATTGGCAAAAGCAAGTCACAGGGCTTTTTGGAGAAGTAAAATACAACCGTGTGCCCAGAACGAAAAGGAAATACTGGCAAATCGCTGTCATGACATCTCATGAATAAGTAGAAAGGAAAAGACATTCAAAAGATGTTCTTACGGACAGGAAGAATTAGCTTCCAATATATTTCTATGCTTTTTGGTCCCTACTCCTCCATGTGAAGAAGAAAGCTAGGCCTTCTTAATTTAGTCCAATTCATATCTCTATGGTAATATGTAACCCTCCCCCCCAACCCCCATAATATGAACTTGAATATGTATTAAAGAAGCCTAAACCAATGTTAATTGGATATTTTTGTTCTGGGCACTGTGGATGAAACAGAATTTAACATATCATAGTTATTTCCATTTACTTGTTAAGAAAAGATGGGAAAGAAGTAGATAATGATCCTAATAGCACATCGGGATATCATATAGACCAGTAACTACCCATCATTTACCACTATTGCTATTCCTTCTGGATTCCCGATCAAACCTCGAAGACTTTGAAGTTGATAATAAACTCTAGACATTAAGGGAGGGGCTCCCATTCATTAATTATAATCTCCATGACCAAGTTTCTGAAATGTGAGTCAATTAGGAGTATTGGCCAGGGTCACCAGGAAGATTTTGACATTTTATGTTTTCATAAAATTTTTAACATAAGCATACTCTGAGTCATATTATAATTCAGTATTGACACTTGATTTCAGTGCCTGTATTTGTATTTCAGTTTGTGATCATATTGGTTCTGAGTAGAAATATTTTAATCATGCCATCCTAAAGAGAAAAGAGACATACTAAATAACATAAATGATTGGTCCAAGCTAAGCGAAGACCAAATGATGTTATATCATGTTTAAAATATTTTGATAGCATTCCAGTACTAAGTGTGGGAGGAATGAATCGTTACGTGACACGTGAATAGACACACTGAATTCACAAGAACCCATGCTCTACCAGGCAAGGCCATTTCCAAGTGGCTATGCCACAAGATAAGGTAACTAGCAGTTTTCAAGAAAAAAGTGACTTTTTCAGTTTTGGTAAAATCAGTCAAGTAAGATGTAATGAAAAGAAAAGACCTCAGTTATACCAAATACTGGTTCCTAGTGATTTTCTACACTGTACTGATAGGGGTCTAATGGTACATCTCCAAGTACAGATCGTTGAAAGGAAATGTAATCTGTTTTTATGACCTTGGTCAATAAAATGCCAAAAGCAGACTTGAATAGGTCTTATCTAGCTGAGAAATTCATAACCTGACTTTAACCCTTGTCTTTTTGACCTCTGTTGCTCTGTTGACCTTGACTGCTTCTTGCTAACTAGGGTGCACCAACCTCCCTCCAGTCCATGCAGCACTGACTGTAGTGGGCAAGGCCTCCTACCCTTATACTCAAAAGCTAGATGTATCGTTTTCTGTACCAAGCTCACCAAAGACTGGAGCCTTAGGCAGTCAGATTAGATTTCTCAATTCCCCCCCTCCCCCCCACATAACAGAAGTAAACAGATTTGCCTCATTTGGGTGAAGTAAGCACTGTGATGAATGTCTTTTTCAAATAAGGGAGAATTCAGAGGATGATCTCTCAAGTAGGATGGAAGCTCAAATTTTAATGGTGTAGTCACTTAAATATGACTTTATTTTCTGCCACAGCAGGCAGAATATACACGAAAGCTTAGAATAGTGTGTGACGTGGTGGCTATTCAGTAATGCTTGGGTTTGAGTGAAATACACTGTATTGTGATGAGAAGTCACAGAGAAGAACCTGGCCACTACTCCAAACTGACTTTTCCTTTGTCCCAATAGGGCAGCTGTCACTTTCCTCTGAAGAGCAGTGAGTCCCATTTTTAATGGGGTTGAGTCTGGGGATAGGGAAGGGTTCCAAGTTAGCAGAGTAAGTTGAATTCATGCACATGTGACTCCACAATAGAGGATGAGCCCTTTTCTTTCCATCCTTCACTCCTTACCCCAACACCATCATTTCTCACCTTGTTGAGGCCACACTTTCTTATGTGGTGTTCTACCTTTGCTCTTTATTCTCTGTATGACAACAAAGCAGGATTCTCTTCACATAGATCTAGGCTCACATTATTCTCTTGCCTGAAACGCTTCAGTGGATTTCCCCATTGAATTTAGAAGAAGCTCAACTTATTTGCGTTGGCCTAAAAGGCCCAAGTGACCTAGTCTCTATGCATCTCTTCATTCTCTATGCATCTCTTCATTCTTCAACTCCCTTCAAGGAGTGCCACACTTGTTCTTTTTCTTTAGTTATTAACTTAAAATTCACCTCAGACAAGTCTCCTTTGAGCATCGTACCCAAATGACAATAGCAGTCATTTCTAGTGGCAGTGTTGTGACAATTTTTATTTGTTTATTAAATATCATAGCACAATTTTCTGTATTGTTCACATTTTCAGGAATGAATGTGTTTTGCTTTATAGTCAGAGAGTTTATGTGAAAAGAAGCAAGAGAGGAATATGATAAAACAATTGCATGCAAAAATCATCCGTTCTTGTTACAAAGCTTTAGGGAAAAAGTTCTCAGAACTTCTTAAAGGTTGATATCTTCTAAGAGAGTCTCTGAAATTTAATGTTGAATCAGCAACCATGAGGCAAACTGATATTCTTGGACTGTGACAGGGGCCCATGATAAAACAGGATGGAAGCCATCTACTGACAAGCAGTCAGGAGTCCTTTATCTAAAAAAGTTATCATGAGAGTGGAGAAATAACTGTCATAAATGAAGAGAGAAACCTTTTAGGCTGATTGGACCAATCTATTTAACCAGATTCACAGAACAGTAGAGACTCTTAGAACAACTCCCTAAGTTGGTCTTTAGTCCCTAACTTTACCCAGAAGAAAACTGAAGCCAAACTGAGTAACTGTTATTTGTCACAGTTTTCTATTCTACTGTTCTGGGCTCACAGAGATCTAAAAAGAATCTCTTTGGGATCTAGGCCCTCCTGCTACTCCTCTTTCCTCCCATTTTCCTAAAAAGAAAAAAAGCTTTCTTAAGGAGAAGTTTAAGAAGACAATTAAGATGTTTAAGAAGGCGTTTTAAGGAGGAGAAACTCTAATAAGTGTGTTTGTCCCAAGAAGGTAAGATGTCCTCTTTTTAAACATTGTGAGTCAGAATTCTCTCTTGCCTATCAATAAATAGTTATAGAGGTAAAATAAACAAGTAAACTATCCTCTCTTATCTCTTATTTCTACAGCTACTGCCATCACTACTTAGTTTTTTACTATGGGTAAAACTGAATGAATGCCAGGCTCTGGCATTCATTTCCTCAGATTTCCAACTGAATTGAACAGTCATACCCCCTAGGCTCTAATTCTGATGGGAGCTACAGTCAGGGTGGCCTTTAAATAAAAGGCGATATCATTTTTCTTGTTAACACTCATACTAATCCTGAATAATTGGATCATGGTTTATTTGATTTCTGTCCCCTGTAACTCTGATATGCAAAAAAATTTCAGGTAGTCATTGTAATCTGCAAGTATTCAGAACATCACTAAACAGAAATCTCTACTAATGGACTTAAAAAAATTTTCCTTCCCCAAATAGTTGCTAAGCCACAAACTCCCTATGTGGTGTAACACTTCTCATCCTAGCCAGACCTATTATCATCCTTAATTTCTCCCTCTGGTATATTCTCCCTCTGTTATTTTTGTTTTTTAGTTTTATTAGGGATTGCATTAAGGGTAACTCTCTAGGAATGAGGGAGTTAGGGGGCACAAAGCCCACAAAGTCTCCTCAAATCTCATAGTGAAGCACCAGCTCAGGTTCTTTGGTGGGATTGTCGCTTCCTTCCAGGTACAAATTATTGTAAGTATACTGCTTTGGCCCCTCAGTCTGGTGGGAGGGGTAAGTGTCGCCCACCCAAAACATGAACAGCATGAAGGCCACGAAGCCAAAGTGTTCATTGGCATCTGTTGGTTGTGCTTTATTCTTTCAACAGAGATGTTACTATAGTTTCAGCTTT